ACCCCGTGAAAAACAGGTTCTTTCTCTGTTCAGACTCCTCAGACTTGGTTTGAACTCTCAATGACCTTCTAGTAACAAGCAAATCACCTTTAGTTGGAAGTTCTTCATGTTCTTCTGATGAGGGCTATGAATCAGATACCACTTCTCCTTCTTCTTCAGTAACAATATCCCCATTATCTAGAAGCAACATGGTTCGCTGGTTAGAACATTCATTGGCATAATGTCCCTTGCCATGACACTTGAAGCACTGAACATCACGGTTCCTTGTCCTTGTTGGCTCGGCTTTCCCTTTGGTATCTTGACTAGTTGCAGTTGGTTTAGCATCAAATCGTGGCTTTGGGGCTGTCTTCACTTCTCTGGAATAACTAGGCCTCACACTAGACGTTCCAGCACCATAAGACTGACGAGTTGTACCCCTCCTCTTGAGCTGCTGCTCCATCAAGATAGCTTTGTGTAACATCTCCTCCAAGTCTCCATAATGTTGTAGCTCCATCCGATCCTGAAGATCTCTGCTCATTCCACTCAAGAACCTTGCCATTATGGCTTTTCTGTCCTTATCAACATCAGCTCTTATCATAAGAGTCTCCATTTCCTGAAAGTAGTCCTCCACACTCATGCTACCTTGTGTAAGTCTCCTTAGCCTTTGGTGTAACTTTCTGTGGTAGTGACTAGGAACAAAGCGTTTCCTCATTATCGCTTTCATCTCATTCCATGTGTCAACAGAATGTTCACCATTTCGTCTCCTGCTTGTAACAAACTGATCTCACCAGTTAATAGCATAGTCATAAAACTCAGTAGCTGCTACTCTAACCTTTTTGGATTCTGATTAGTTTTGGTAGTCAAAGACTAGCTCAATCTTCTTCTCCCACTCCAAGTAGGCGTCTGGATCATTTTTCCCATGGAATGATGGAATTTTCAGCTTAAGACCTCCCAAGTTGTTATCAGCCTGACCTCTGCCATCTCTATCACGTCTAGGTCTCCTTCTACTCCCCTGAGAAGAGTCACCATCACGGCTGTAGTAGTCATCGTCTAGATTAACCCTTGCTGGTCTCCTTTGTTCTTCTTCTCTTTGGACAGGCACGTTTTGAGGATGCCTTTGTCGAGCTTCAACTCTAACTTCTTCAAGTTGATCATAGACTCCATTAATTTCAGTCCTCAGCATCCGCTGCATCTCTCCTAACAAGGCTTCCATATGAAGATTAGGGACTGTTGGTACTTCTCCTTGGTTTTCTCCATCTTAAGACATGATTTTTCCTGCTAAGATTAACAAACATATTAGAAAATAAAAATCCTCACAAGTGTTTCCCTCAAGTGTTTTCCTTACAAAAATGTGTTTCACTCAATAAAATGTCACTCAGTGAATTCTCAAAGTTTTAATAGGACTAACAATCAATCACAATATGTTTCTCTCCAGAATCAACCAGTAAATCAAATGTAGAAAGAAAGAAGGGAAAGAAATAGAATAAAAGAAAAGAAATAAAATAGAAAGAACATAAATGATTAGAAGACAAAAATTAGAATAAAAAACTTTAGATTTGCAAAAACAAATTCCAAAATTTCTTAGATCCTTTTTTATTATTCTTTTCTTTTTCTTTTTTTTTTCTTTTTTCGTTCTTTTTCGTTCTTTTTGTATCTTTTTTTGTTTCTGGATACGAAAAAATAAAATTAATTTATACAAAAAAATAAATATTAAAACTCAGAAATAGAAGAAAAGAAGATGAAAAGATAGAATATGAATAGATAAGAAGGTGAAGAGATGAAAATGAAAAGATGAGAAGATGAACAGAATGATAGAATACCAAACTTTTGAGTGGTGCTCTGATACCAGATGATGCGATTCTCCAAGATCGGGCATTCTAAATTTGGTAGGGATAATCATTTAATCCAATGGAAGCGGAAATTCCAAAGGAAAAGGCGGTGGAACCTTAGAAAGGTGATGCATATAGCTCCAATAGTGAGTATATGAAACTCACCACCTGATACTAATTTATACCGCAAACAACTAACTTCAGTTGGTAGAATGGCCACATAAGTGTGATGAAGAACACTTGATAAACCGGGTTGATCCCTTGGATATGACACACAAGATAGATCAAAATGTTCACAAGGAACAAAGGGAATCACTCTCAAAAGGTTTTATAAAAAAAAAAAAGGATTGTTGTTTCTCAAATGAGATTACATGAGTTTTATAGAAAGAAAATGAGTAGACCAAGAGCCAAACTCGTGGTCAAAGCAATAACCTAAACAAAGACTTGAATAAAAACTAAGTTTGAATGACCCTTGAGCTTTTATCGGCGAACTTTATAAGTGAACTATATAGGCGAACTATATAGGGAAACTATATAGGTGATCAGGCATAGTAACTTTGTGATCTATTTGCCTCACTAAAACCTTTTTTGGAAAATCCATTGGGACAAAACAAAGGATAAAGAAAAAGAGTACAAATTATCACAAACCAGTTAGAGCTTTTCTTGGACTTGGATCATCATTAGAACTTCTTGAGTTGAGTCTTCTCCATTCTAATTGGAGTTCTCTTTGGATATGAGCATTTGGTTAAGTAAACCTTCAATTCTTTGAATGAATCTCTTAGCTTTAGCATGAGTCAAAAGTCCGGTTACTGATACAAGCATTGCATCCACAGGTTCAAGTTTAACTTCCACAAGTTCATCTTGGCTGCCTTCCATGATCTCAAATTATGATTGGTGATGGTCATCAAACTCGTGTATTCAGAGATAATTGGCTTTCCACACATCCTTCTAGACTAGCTCAAACGTGGAACATATCATTATTGGGATAAATCGGCTTTAGAGTCTACACTCTCCGATGAAGACATTACTTTAGCAACACGTCTTTATTTAGGACAAGACAACAAACAGATCAGCTACAATGAAATTACACCAAAAATGGTTAACTCCGTAAAATCTGGTTACTGGTTTCTGCGGATCACCCTAGTTTTCAAATAAACGCACTCGATATACCATATGGCGAAGAAAATATGAAAGCTTCAATTAATGCCTAAATTAAAGCATTTCTTTTTAATGGAAAATCCTAGTTAAAGCACTTGGTACTGCCACAAGACTTCAAAGCCTAGGGATTGCTATTGATGAAACCTGTACTCATTGCGGTTTAGAACCAGAAATAATATAATATCTGTTCTTTACATGTCATGTGTCCATATCCACTTGAAGACTATAAAAAACGTCCTTTAATTTTTTCACCATCCCTGATCAAAACAGAGAAGGGATTATAAGTTTGATGTTTGACGTACAAGAAAGAACAGACATATATGATGAAGTGAAATTATTACTTTTTAGATATTATGATGGATTTGGAAATTACGTAATAATCCCATTTTCCAGAAACAACAAATTAAAATCGGGAAAGATGTGAACAAGGTTATGGTGGATGTTGAGGAATGGCTAAAAGCTACAATTACGATTCCCACCATCTATGCTACCAATTCAGCAAACATGTTTGGGCATCAACCCCTTCCTGGTTTTGTAAAATGCAACTATGATGTAGCTAATTCAATCAACAAATCCAACAATCACCAGCGGGTTGGATTATACGTGATTCCCAAGGAATTTGCAAATATTGTGGATCTTCAGACACTAGCCAAACATCTTCAAATCTGGGAGCTGAAGGCACAGCTTTATTGGTGACTCTACAAAATACATGGAATATGGACTATGCTCATATATGTTTTTAAGGGGATTGTAAGATTTTAGTGGTATTACTATAAAATGAGGATCAAGACATTGCCATCTTTAATCCATTAGCGGACATAAAACACTAGCTCTCCGAATTCATGTTGATGTTTCTCATGTAAAGCGAAACTGCAATGTGGCAGCTCATACTTTAGCTAGACATGGTCGATCTAATGATGTCTTCGATTCTGGAACAATGTTTCCCTCGTATTGGCTTACTAACACGCTGTATTCAAAACAAATAATGGAGTTATTATAAATACTAAAATTTTATAGAATATGTTCTCATCGTCCTCTACGAGAGATGAAGTGTCATACACGCTGTATTTGTTTTGCTTTATAAAATAAATGGATATTAACTAAAAATATTTTCTCTGTTTCAGAAAGTTTGATGTTTTAGAAAAAAAATTTGTTCCACAAAATTTAATTTTTTGGATTATATATAATCTATTTCTTTTTTCGAGAATACTTTATTTTTGAAAAAAAAAATATACATTAAAATAACTAATATAAAGGAATATTAAAATGAAAAAGTAATTAAAAAGAATAATTAATGATTACTTCTTAAAATTTGTGAAAAATCTAAAGAATCATACATTAAAGAACGGAGGGAGTATTTGTTTTGCTTTATAAAATTTCGGATACACAGATTTTGTTAAATTGAATCCAAATCTAATACACAGATAGTCTGTCCATGTTCGATCAAAAGCGTCCATAATCTGATCCGTTAAGCAACTCGGTCCGAAGAAAAAGATCGTGATGACATTCTGGAACCTTCAATGACAGTCTGGCATCATCAAATTGTTCAAAGCCCACAAACCGATGATACACAAAATATTCCGAATTTCCGTTTTACGGCAAAAAACAAATAATAATTTAATTTCAGATTGCGTCGTCGTTAGTTTTACTATCGCTCATATTTCTTTTTTCTTCTTTCTTCGTCGTCTTACCTATCTCATTTCACGATACCTTTCTTTCCTCTTCCGCTGATCTCCTCTCTATATACTGCGGAGAATATCATCGATCGATCCTAATTCTCTCATCTCTAAGTTTTTTTGAATACCGAAATCGGATATATTTATTCAATCGTTTTTTTCTTTCAGGTAAAATGATTTGTTCTCTCGTTCTATGAATTTTTTTTTGCTATTGATTCTATGAAATTGCGTCACGGATCTGTTTAGAATTCGTTCTTTCAATCATCGATCGGGATTGATTTTATATTATCGGTCGTCGTTTGATTTTTCCAGGATTTTTTTTTCGCCGGAGTTTTGACTATTTCCGATTTACGAAATCATGGCGGAAGAACACAGACTCCAGGAGCCACGGTTATGCGTTAATAACTGCGGATTCTTCGGAAGCACCGCTACACAGAATCTCTGCTCGAAATGTTTTCGAGATCTACAGCACCAACAACAAAACTCCTCCTCAGCCAAACACGCCCTTAACCAAACCTTAGCCGCCGCTGCTTCCGCCGTTTCTGGTGCTGCGTCCTCATCCGTATCACCACCACAAGTATCTCCACCGCCTCCAGCCGATCTGACATCAGATCCGAAAGAAATCGGCGAAACGAACCCCGAGAAACATGCGGAAACCGAGGCGGAGGAGAAGGAAGAGGCGCCACCGCAAGATCCGAAGCGGTGCTTGACTTGCCGGCGGCGCGTGGGGATCACGGGGTTTAGATGCAGGTGTGGGTTCGTTTTCTGCGGGACACACAGGTACGCGGAGCAACACGAATGCTCCTTCGATTTCAAGAGGATCGGGAAGGAGAAGATCGCAAAGGCGAATCCGATTGTGAAAGCGGAGAAGCTTGAGAAGATCTGAAAGTGTTTGCGGTTTGGTTTTGGTTTGACTTTGAAAATGAAAAAGAAAATGAAAACGCAGAAGAGAGCAAAAAGAACAATGTAAATTTATATCATCAATTTAAGCTTATTTGATTTCTTCTCAGTTGGTTTAAATTTTTTTTGACTCCATTGCTATTCATTGTTATTCAATCTACATACATTCTCAAGCAACACACATCATTCAAGTATTATTCAAGTTCCTGTAAATCACTATTTACCATTTGAAAATGTTCTCTAATCATTTCTGCATTCAAATTCAACGCGACAACACGCAGCTGCTTGATTCTGCCCGAATCTTGTCGAGTTTATCAATCATCATTTGGGTGAGACATCTCTTCAAGTTCAACCTCATTTAGGATTTAGTCGATTATATGTAGTCATATTTTGCTTACCCAGATTTAGATATGTTGCAAATGGGCATCTGAAAATATGATCTTATTTGGGTGGATGAATCAATTACATATATTATATTATTTTGAGAATTATATTATTTAAGAAGTAAAATTATTGAAAATAGTTAATTTGTTAATACTATAGCTAAAGTTAGTGTTTTTTTTTTTTTTGATAAAATGTAAATTTATATACCAATAACGGAAACGTTTCTTTTTACAACAGCTTGGCGTAGCTAAGTGGTAATAATCGGGTCCAAAAAAGAATAAAAAAGCCCATAAACATTACATAAAGGAACTGAAGAAAAGAGTTAAACAGCAGAAACACGGGGTTCGTGGACAAACCAGGAGGAAAGAAGGTACGAACGGAGCATCCTGTTACGCGCAAGAAGAGCATCACGGATGCTTCTGTCAATCCTCCTAAAAGAAAGGTTTGGAGTGCAGGAAACATTGTCTTGAAGTCTGATATTCCTTTCCTGCCACAGGAAGAAGATTGTTGCATGAACAGCTAGCAGTTTCAGGATCTTTGGGGTAAATTTTGAAGGATCCAATATCCAAGCAATGAGATGCGACCACGTCGCGAAAGCAAGATTCTGCTCCCCCAGACGCTGAAGAGTGAGCTTCCAGACCTGCATACTGAATTCGCAGTGGAGGAGAGGTGATCCTTCGTTCCATCAACAAGACCGCAGAGACAGCATATAGTTGGGGTGGCCATTCCCCATTGGGACAGTCTAGCTCGAACAGGAAGCCGGTTGTTATGAGCAGTCCAAAACGTGAATGCATGTTTATGGATGTATCCTTTAAACCATACAGCTTTAGTCCAGTTCTGGGGAACAGCAGATGGTCTTAACTCCTCCCATGTATGAGCGACAGAGAAGGTAGGCCTATCGGTGCCCCTTGTTCTCCACAAGTACTGGTCTTCACCATTGCTGTGATTTGGGAGCTTCATTGCCAAGAGAACGTCATGCAACTGGTGAATATTAGAGGATCGCGCTCGGGGCCGGGAGTTATCCACCTGCCCGCTCTGGTAGCATCAAGAACAGAGGAGTTGACAGGAAGACCCAAGAGGCGCGGTCCTTCTGCACCGATGAGCTCGATGATGGGACCGGTTGTGAGCCAGTTATCAAACCAGAAGCTACAGGACTTCCCATTATTCACCTTACATGTGAGGAACCGCCTTGCCAGCAGTCGCAGAGCCAACAGAGAATTCCAAATCCAAGAGGAGCTGGGACTTGCCGTGGCTATCCAGAATTTAGTCCGCTTAAGCCGATGCTCTTTATGCCATGCTACCTAAAGAGATCCACTATTTGAGAACAGGAGCCAGATGAGTTTGAGGCTGAGCGTTTTATTCCATACATTGAAACTTCTCAGGCCCAAACCTCCCTCGCACCTTGGGAGACAGACTTGATTCCATGAAACCTTGATGCCTCCTTTCTTGTTGATATCTCCCATCCACAGAAATCTACTGCAAAGGGATTCCAGCGTTTTTATGCAGCTCTTTGGAAGAGTGAAAGCTGACATCCAGAAATTGACGGAACTATAAATCACATAGGAGATAAGCTGAAGACGTCCGGCAAAAGAGAGAGTTTTAACTATCTAATTACTGAATCTGGCCTTTATCGCATATATAAGCGGGGAGTACTCCAATTTCCTCAGCTTACGATGCATCAGAGGCAGACCAAGCTACTGGAGTGGGAGAGAGCCCAAAGGAAAGCCCTGAACCAGCGAATTTGAGGTTTCCTCCTGATTTAGGCCCACCAAGAAAAGAGCTGACTTATCCTTGTTCACAGCTAGGCCCGAGATAGTAGTGAAATCCTCTAAGGTGTTTACTATGTTAACCAAGGATTTCAGAGTACCGTCGTAGAAGATCATCACGTCATCAGCGAAGCAAAGATGGGAGATCTTTGGGTTGTGAGCTTTTGGGTGGTAGCCAATCTCTTTGGCTGCGAATTTGGAGCTTAGCAGACCTGCAAATACCTCCATAGCGATGAAAAAGAGGTAAGGGGATAAGGAATCTCCCTGCCGGAGTCCTTTGGTATCCTGAAAGTTAGTGCTTTTAATTGATGACATGTAAATGTGACATGTCAAACTTCATAAAATAAATGAGTTGATTGATTGAATTAAAATTAAAAAAATTATAGAATTAAAACATAAATACACTAGATTATTTTTATAATATTAAAACTAACAAATTTAAATTAACAGAAAATAATATTTATTATAATTTTAATTTTTTACATATATTCAAAATTTTATAAAATATAATAACAAAATTTTCCAACAATATATATATATATATGTACATATATGTTTGAGAGAAAATTTTGGAATACCACGTGGAAGTGTGTGATTCGCCCGGGAGATATAGCTGAGTCTCCGAGTTTCGTCCTCGGGGGGAAAGACGACGAGTCGTTCCGGGGCGGAAGCCTGTGTGAGTCCTGGTAACAGGGTGATCATCCCATGCAATCCTGCAAGCACTACGCAAAAGGTTAGTCGGGCCTCCCGGGGGACCGAAATGGGGTTCTCTCCCGAAGATTTTCCGACGCTCAAGTCAATGAACGTCCTACCGGGAACAAGTACTCATGAGGGTATTTATACGGGTTGTGAATGAGAAGTTCCATCCGTGGATCGGGACATCTATCTATTTAAGAGTGTTTCGAGGAGGGTTCTACACAGAAAGAAGGAGGTTCAGTAAGTATAAAGACAAGGTTCCGGGTCAAGAAGGACTTATTCTGGAAGGCATTATCTCGGGAGAACAATGGTCACTCCCTTGAATATGCTACTGGTCGGGGCCGACCGACTCAGATTCAGTTCATCACTTCCTCCTTCTAAGGGGGTTCTAGATCTGTCGAGCAGATCCCCACCAATGTGGTAATTTCTCTCCTTTTATACTCGCAATCTCCTCATCATATCTTCTCCATTCGGCGAGCCAGGGAAGCAGATGGTGATGATGATTCTTGTGTGTTTGGGAGCTCGCCAACTGCCCGGGAACAGTATGTGGGAGTGGTTCGGCCGAGCTAGCGTGGCGTGTGTCAGCGTCTAGAGTGGGTTAGTGCCCACATGTCGGATCTCCTTCTGGCCATATAAAATCGGTCCCAACAGTTGCCCCCGACTTCTCGGCTGATTGAGAGATGAGTCGAGAAGTCGAATCCTTCCTGGTTTCCTGTAAAATAAACATGGATTATTCGATTCCCTAAATTGTTTGCCATTTTAGGGCTAACCTGACGCGACGAACATGCCGCATATCGCAAAGGATACTGTACTAGTTTGGGCGAAGCTAAGTCCTGAAAGATAGTAAAAATTGGGGACTCGTCCAAGCTGTGCCACGCATCCTGACGGAGTACGGTACTAGTCGGACGGTCCGGACTTCCGGGGAAGTAAGAAAAGGGTGTCGACTCCAGCCTTATCACATATCACGAAGGAGTACGATCCTGGTCGGAGGAATAAACTAAAGAAGACTCTCAACCCCGACCTTATTCGTATGTCCGGGGGAGCACGTTTTCTGATGAAGATATACAAGAAGAACCGGACTTAAAACCGAACCTCAAGTGCTAGAAGTGCCAACCGGAGCTATTACTAGAGAAAGAGCAAGAGTACTACAACACAAGTACAATCAGGCCATGATGTTAGCCGCCCAGCGAGCTGATAATCAAGAACTTCAAGACATTGATCAAGCTAGCAAAGGCCCATTCGGAGTTAAGGAAATTCAAGAAGCATGGCCCTTGTTCTCTAAGCACAACGACTACAATCTCTTTGTTGTTTCAAGCAAGGCCCAAGACCCATAAAAGCTATCTCCACGATCAAAGGGGTTAAAGAGACGAATCATTGAAACTTGAAACCACACAAAAAACTAGGTAAGTGTTTATGATTATTTTTATTACATTTTGACTAATGATTCTCAATCTCTTTTGCAGCATAAACTTAGTCGTTAATTTATATTACATTTATATTGATTTTTCATTTAATAAGTAAGGCAAATGTTAGCCTGATTTCTTGCTTTTAATTCATGTAATATATTTCCAAAGACCCCAAGAAGGACATAACTTTTCGGACTGGTTTATAAAGTCTCCTCTCACAGCAGTGTATTTTTCATCTTTGATCAATAACATACCGAATTTTCTTCAAGAACATTTCTTGAGTTTTGCTCTTTATTTTGTGAGACCAGTTCCTCCAAAGTATCAAGAGTTATCCTGTTGTATCAAGGGAGTTATCATAGCCCTTGTGGTACACTTCGTTCCACCCCGGTTCCAGTCTATTCGTCCCACTTGTTCCCCCGGTCATACGGTCTGAGTATCTCGACCATACGACCAATACATCCGTCCCGCTCGTACCACGGTTCCATCTCTCGTACCGTACAACCACATCTCTCGACCCGCATGACGATATCCCCCGTACCGCGTGACCATCACTCTCGTACCACGTCCACCGTTCTTAGGCTTGAGTATCTCGACTATAGAACATCCTCCGTCCATTCATACCGTTTCTCCTAAGTTGAACGTTCCACGCTCGTACCGGAGCCCTCACTAGCTCGTCCCCTACTCGAGCTTGTATCATTTTTGGTATCAGAGCTGAAGTTCCTTTCAGCCCCAGTTTGCATCTATCCGATCTATCCTTTCCTTTGCATTTGTTGTGTTGTTTCCATCATATCATTTCAAAAAAATATATATATATATAGTAATTCTATCATTTGATTCATAAGCATATTCATATTGTTCTCATATCTAGATTCTTATCTTTTTTTAACCAAAAAGAAAACCTATCATTCGTTCATCATCATTTAGTTGCTCTCTTTTAATCATTTGTATTAGATTTTTATTAGTTTCAATCACAAAAAGTCAAAAAAAAATTAATTTTGAGTCGTCCATTAGCATTCATAATCATTTCCATAAATAGAACTGCATTTACATTCATTCCATTCCCGTTTGATACGATTCATCACTCTATCATATCATACTCATTGGACCGTGATACATAAACAAAGAAACTTAAACATTTAAGTCTTTTGGTTTAAGGTACTGGTCTAAAAAGAAGAAAGCATGGGTGAAGAAGCTAGGAACGCCAACGACCCGGTCAGTCAAATGATGGCCATGATGAGGGAAGAGTTTCAAGCCTTTAGGCAAGAAGTGGGAGAACGTCTCAATCGTGTAGAGCAGGCCCCTCGCGCCACCTTACGACCCGTGAGAAACGTTGGAGGACTTGGCACTACCAACCTTCATGGAAACCCTCAACGACACAACGTCATTCACATCAATGAGCCTGCGAATGGAGAACAACAATGTGACGATGACTCTCAAGATGATGAAGAGGATCCACCACCAAGAACAAACCGTGTACGGAGAAGACGAGTACAAACTACAAAGGGAGGAGTTTGAAAAAGACGAGCCATACGACCCTCACCCGAGATAAAACCAAGGGAATATCAAACTAACCGCGCCTAACTTTACCGGTAAAGTTGATCCCGAGGCTTGTCTCGAATGGGAGAAGAGAATGGTCCATATATTTGACTACTACAATCATCCCAGCCCTAAGAGGATAACACTAGCAGTAGCTCAACTCACGGACAATGCCCTCATTTGGTGGGACAGAATAGTAGCTGACAGAAGGAGAAACCGCCAACGGTCCATTGATTCATGGG